CCGGGCACCAGGGCTGATAGCGGAGAGTGGTGCATCCCCATCTGCTGCTGGCATTTGCATTTCATTCTCCCTTCTCAACTTCCAAAAGAACAAACTCCGGCCTAGGAGACCTTGCCAAAAACCTGTTAAAAGGACACCAAGTGTCATTCAGGCATAGAGAAGTGAAACAAAGGTAAAATTAGGCTTCTCCTTGCGATTCTTAATTTACCCTTCCTGTGAAAAACGCACAAAGACACTGTCAGTCTCATGATCCTGTGCTGTTTCTGGGTTTTTGTTTCCCCTCCCTTTGAAGGGTCTGATTCATTCAGCAAATGAAGTGGCATGTGGCATGTAGTAAATGAGGCTGTAGCACCCACTTCTCCTAATAATAATAGTAATAGCTGCAGATAGTAACTACGTAAGTGGTATTTGGCCTGAGGTTACCAGGAGCTTTGTTTTAAGCATGGTCTCTGTTGTGCTGCAGCATACCTGCACAGTACCATGAGAGATCAGGCAGGAATTGACTCAAACTGAGAGTCTAAAGTGGAGAAATTTTTTTTTTATGATTATTTTTTTTTGGAGGATGACACCATGAGCTCTGATTTTGTATTTCATTTCTGTGCCTGGAACAGGGAGCCTGTGGTGGTGGAGCCTCATGTTGCTGTGGCAATAGGATTGGTTTCTGGGTCATAAAGTGGCACCAGCTGGATTCTCTCGGGCATTTTAAATTCGTTTGGAGGTGACATCTTGGTGTCTTGCATCTTGCTGTAACAAGACAAGAGCATCATGGCACAGTGCAGTTTCATTCTGTTGGGATTGGTGGGATGGAAGAGGGTGCAGTAAACTATGAATATGGTCACAGACAGCAACAGGGAAACGAGCATCTTTGTATGTTAAATGAAGATGGGGTCTTAAAATCCATGTGCAAACTTGTGTGCTGGTTGATTTATTGTGACATGCAGTGCTATCAGAGATTACGCACAAGGCAGCTCTCAACTATCATGAGTGTTGCCCACATACAGCTACAGCTTAGACTTCAATGTTGAGTATTTTTTGGTGAAATCTACTCTGTGTAAAGGCCTGAAAGGTAAAGACTCCTAGACCTGTTTGCAAACATCTAGAGAGGGTAACAGAGGAGAGGTTTGATGGCCAAGCGTGCCTGATGCTCAGGGGAATTTTCTAGACTTGTTAGCCCAGCTTTTTCCAGAGAAACATGATTATAATGGGCAGTCATTCACTCAGAGAACTGCTTTGAATTCCACAGCTTGAAGGGCAGAGGTGCCAGGCACAGCCATGTCATTCAGGGCAGTATTTTGAGACTGCTTTAGAATGTGGCACAGCTGCACTGGTATCTTGTGTTTGGTGATGAGTGGCCAAGAGCTGTAGGATTGTGGAATATCGAGCCCTGCTTCTGAATTTCCTGTATGGACCAACTGGTTTTGTGTGGATTTTTGAGGTGTCACACTCCTCCAGCGCTTGCCTTCCCTTCATATGCCTTAACTCCCAGCAGCTCATCTCCAATAGCAACAAAGTTATGGTAGTTCTTTTATCACCAAATTTGCCTGTTTGTTTCCAGGAGCTCCCAACACTGCAGAATTGAGAATCTGTCGTGTGAACAAGAACTGTGGAAGTGTGAAAGGAGGAGATGAAATATTTCTACTGTGTGACAAAGTTCAGAAAGGTAATCTTGAATAGGTTGTTTTTTTCCCCCACCTTTGTTCCAAATGGCTGACACTACCACTTTCCAGCAGGTGAACTGAATCCCTTCATCACACTGCTGTGTAAGTGGTCAGGTTTTATAGCTGGGCAGAACAGGTTTCAGGTTCAAGGGCTCTCAGCACATCTGAAAGAAACTCAGTGCCATTAAAGTCGAGTCATTTACTTTACATCTGAATTTGAGTCAGGCTCCTTTCTTTGTTTCCCTTCTCCCCTTTTTTTTCTGCTGCAAGTCTTCAGTTTTCAGCTTAACAAGCATCTTCTGTTTCTAATGGACTAGATGACATAGAAGTCAGATTTGTCTTGGACAACTGGGAAGCCAAAGGTTCCTTCTCACAAGCTGACGTTCACCGTCAAGTTGCGATAGTGTTCAGAACGCCTCCATTTCTCAAAGACATCACTGAGCCTGTCACGGTGAAGATGCAGCTGCGAAGACCTTCTGACCAGGAAGTCAGTGAACCTATGGATTTCAGATATCTACCAGATGAAAAGGGTAAGGTTCCAATTAGCTGAGTTCCTGAATAGCCATTATCGGTGCAGAACTTGTGTTGATATCAAACAGTAGCTTAATTAGTAAAAAGTCTACACTACTTCTGCAAAGTAATTTTTGGTTTTTAAAAGTAACAGTCATCAGTTTGCTCCCTCTTTCAAGGAAAATATCAAGAGTCATTGTTAATAACAGTGTCTTGGTTGGTGCTGTCACGTTTCAAGTATTTTTTTCTTTAAATGTATTTTACTACAATTAGGGGTCACTAGTGTAAGTGTTTTAGAAAATTGCCTTTACTAATTCTATCAAAGAGAAAACTTAACAAGTTTTCCTTCTACTCCTTCCTCTGTAGATCCGTATGGCAACAAAGCAAAAAGGCAAAGATCAACATTGGCTTGGCAAAAGCTCATACAGGACTGTGGTAAGGAAAATATTTGTCTTTTTCTTGTTTGAGTGAACTTACATTTAGATGGAGTTATTTTCTATAAAAGCAAGCATTCAGTATAGATTTGTGCTTTCTTCCATCGCAGGATCAAATGTGACAGAGAGGCCCAAAGTAGCTCCATTCCCCACTGTCACCCCTGAAGGGAAGCTCATTAAGAAAGGTAGGTTTGTGCTTGTAATCCAATAGTGGTTTGAAACAAAGTGTCTGACTTCTGTGGGGAAGGGCTGGAGCTTTTTTAGGGGGGCAGTGGAGTTCCCAAGGCAGCAGCAGTACTTTGCCTCCTTCAGATTCTTCTCAAAGCTTCAGCCACGCTACAGCTTCTCCTCTGCACAGGAGAAGGCTACACCTTCGTCATCTTCAAGCATTGCTTGAATTGCTGCATTTTGGCCTGCCTTTAGATAAATACCAATTTTTCTCTGTGTTCGTATACTTGGTTCCTGGTTTTCCTTCCTCTTTGCGTGAAATTCTAATATCCTGTTGAGGGTTTCTTCCTGTAACATACTGGTATGTTTGACAATCTGAACTAAAACCATCAGTTCTTTATGTAAATGTGGCTGCCACCTTCAACATTTGCCTTAGAGGGGTGAGGTCAATAGCTGTCGTGCTGCTGTCCAGAAATCTGGGGTCCAACCTGAGAGCAGTTAAGCAAGTATGCAAGTGCAGATGCACATATAATCTAAGATAGCACTGGTTTTGCTTTGCTTTTTTACTATTTTTAATTTTAAAAAGAATACATATAAAAATGGCATTAAAATGCAGTCGCATCTTTCCTTTCCATAGAACCAAACATGTTTTCGCCTGTGCTGATGATGCCAGGGTTAGGAACCTACCCTGTCTGCAACCAGATTACCCATCCGCCCGCGCAGGTGGGGCCAGGGAAGCAGGACGTGCTCACCCCGTGCTGGCAGCAGCTGTACAGCACCCCCTCTTCAGCTGGCAGCCTGCTCAGTGTGCACCCCCAGAACAGCTTTGCGGCAGATGTGGTTCAGCCTGCTGCTCAGGGCAGCAGCTCCCACACACCTTTCCACGACAACCCTCTGGACTGGCCTGATGAGAAGGATTCGAGCTTCTACCGGAATTTTGGCAGCACAAACGGGCTGGGAGAAGTGGTGACATCAACCGCAGACATACAGAGCGTTTCCACTAACAGCATCGTGCAGCAGGCCCATCCTGCCAGCGTCTCCACGGCCAGCATCATCAGCATGGAGACCGATGACATGAACTGCACCAGTATAAACTTCAAGTATAACCCAGTGTTAAACACAAGCAATCACAGGCAGCAGCTCCACCAGCTGCCACCAGCTTGCCCATCGGTAGCCCCGGGCAGCACGCCTTTTAACTCGCAGTCTAACTTAGCTGATCCGGCAGTTTACAGTTTTCTAGACCAAGAAGTTTTAGGTGAATCAAGACTGCCCACCAACCCCATCCCAAACCATCAGAATAGCATTGCAGATAACCAGTACTATGCCGGCGGCAGTGTCAACACTGATGAGCTCTATCAGTCTTTCCAATTTGATAGCATATTACAGAGCTATAACCATTGAACCAGCAGGGTCAGGCTGGAAGCAGCAGGTACGTGGTGCTTTTCAGCTGGCTGGCTGTGTGAAGAGGAGGAACTTTCCCTTCTGGAGTCCCTGCTTTCTCTTTCAGAATGTTACTATGCAAGTTTTGTGATATAACTTAGGGTTATACATTACAGCCCAAAGACTGGTGCCCATAAAGATGAGAGGTAGGAGAAGGGTTTGGGGTTCTGTACCTTAGAATGTACCTTGTATACGTATTTTTACGTGATTAACACTTCAATCCTCCTTACTTTGGGAGCTGTAAAAGCAGGCATCTTCAGAAGGGTTAAAATGTCACATACTTCACGGGGTTAAATTTGTTTGGAAAAATAACTATTTTTTCTATGGAAATTAAATTTATATTCTGATAAGACAGAAATTAGGAAAAAAACCCAGCATGTGGGCACTCCAGTTCAGACTCCCCTACCAATGTTAAAGTTTTACTTAGCTTACTTGAAAGGTTTAGGTTCCTTACCCTCTTCCGTATAAAACATTATTCTCCTAAAACAAGATCATATGTTGATTTTTCACATTTTTACCACACTCCATTTGCTTTGAAGGCAAATTTACTCTAAAAATTTTTAATGACTATGTCATTGTTACCTATATTTTAAAAGACCGGAAGGTTTGAGCTTTTAAATAGTCCAGCTCTGTTGTAAATGAATCACTGCACAAAAAAAATGAACAGCAAGTGAGGACTTCTCTGCACTTCATCCAAAGTGCACTATTTTAAATGACAAACCCCTGTTGCTTTAGGAATGGAGCACGCTGTTATTTCTCTGGAAGTTTTTTTTTTGGTGTGTGTAGCTGTGATGTGTGTGTTATTTTGAACTTCAGAAATATGTGGAGACGAAGCACCTACTTGTTCTTTCCTCAGGTATCTCAGCAGTTTCCTGCTATGCAAGTGACTGCTTAAAAGAAGGCTCAGATCCTGCCTCCCCAGCAGCCCCTCACAAGAAAGCTTTGAGGCAAAGCTGGAGGCAGTTGGTGCAGCCTCATATATAGATGCACTCTAATAACAATTTAAGGCGGTTTCAGTCAGTGCTAATTAAAAACACTCCTCTATGCTCTCTATCAGAAACCAGAACTTTTTCCCTTCCACTTGCTTCCCAGTCTTTGTTCTTAGCCCAAGTTGTGAGATGTTCACTGACAGCTCGTGTAGATGTAACTGGCTCGGTAAGACACTCTACTCTGCATTATAGGGCTTTGCTATTTTATTATTATTTTTTTAAGAAGCAACACAGCAAGAAATAGATGAGTATTTCTTAAGTTATACAACTGTTTTTTTTATGGCAGATAAGGCTTCAGAATCTAATTGTTCCTCTTTAGCATCATAAAACTGGAAAGAAGCAATCCATGGAAACCATGGAAAGAAGCAATTAAAAAACCCCACATTTGGATAGATATAGAAATATATATATGGAGATATATGGAGATCATATATATATATCTCCATATATATATATAAAATAATTAAAAAAACCAACCAACCAAAAAGTACAATCCCAGTTCAAAAAAGCCACTTGAGACATAGTTGTACACAAGGCAGAAGGGAACTCCAAAAACGCAGTGGTTTCTAGGAAAGCAATGCCTCCTTGCCTGCAGTAATTTGTTGCATTCAAAGCAATAAGGTGCTGCTGCTATAATGCATTACACCAATTACGCAGGTTTGACACAACAACCTCCTTCAACAATGTGTAGAATATTAAAAGTTTGGAAAACTGCTGCCCCTAACTCCAGGTACCTGACACAATGAATTGACTCTCCATGGTTTTAAGCAGTTCTTCCTCACTTCTGCATAGTTCCTCTGCAGTCTTAAGTAACAGAAAAACCAAAGAAATACAAAGAAAGCTTGAAATGTGTTGTTTATTCAGTTCTTTTTTTTGAAGTTCTCAATTAAGTATATTAAATGTAAACATTTTACTCACTTCATAGAAAGCTCTTTATAGTACAATTTGTTTTTACTGTATAATTAAGTTTTTTCAAAGTTCTGTTTTCCTTTGTAAACAAGTTGGTTTGGTAATTAAAGAACTGGTTATACTAAGTACTCAGCTTCTGCAACCTTCTCAGCTTCATGACATCCCTCACTACAGGAAAGCCAGAGAAATGGGAGCAGGTAGGTTATGGGGTGCTTATCCTGGGGGTTTTTAGAGTATTTTCTGCTCACAATTACTGTTGGCCACTACAAAACCTAAAGCAACCTGTGCAGTAAGGTTTTATCTGCACTCGGCATTTTTCTGTGGCAGAGCAATTGGCTTTTTAGGCAGAAGGTACAGATGCTTTCGTGCTCAAGCTGGAGCTGTGCTACTGGTACAGCTTTTCTCCAGGTTCAGCTATGCTGATACAAAAAAAGAAATGAGGGGGGATTATAGGTGACCGATTGTTTGGAGAAATAAAACAGCTTTATTTTGAGTCCTTCCATTGCAAAGGATCGTGCTAAGGAACACGACCTCATGTTTTGGTATTTTTCACGTAACATGCTAGAAAATATCTACCTCTTTCCCACATGCTTCATGAACAAGATTAAATCTTATTCTCACAAAACATCCTATTTCAGTACTCACAAGTAGGTTTTTTTTTAACACTAAGATGAAGGCCAAAGTACAATATCGATATTATTGCTGCAATATTCATTACAGATTACAATAGTTCAAGGTGTTTACCTTGTCTTAGAAACTGCAGACTTTAAACAAAGTTCAGAAAGACAGATTACATCTCTCATATTTTCACATGATCACTGAACAATAACTGCCTAAAGAGCTGTATAGAAATATTTGCATTATCAACTTTCACTCCCCCCACGCATGGATACTTCACATTTATCATAAAAACAAGCAGTCTGGTAATTCTTGGTGGACCTCTCTACATTGTAAGGAGATTATTAGACTCAACACATTTAGTGTAATCTTTATAGCCTTGTTTATCCGCACTTTGATTCCTAACATGGTGTCGCTGTCACCATGACGGCATACAGCCATGATGCCATACAGTGTAGTAGGAGCTGCAGATGGGAGCACCTCGCGTGTTGTTGCGCTATGGCAGAAGCAGGAGCTCTTTCTGCTTCTGCCTTGTTGGCTCTATTGCCCCCTTGAAACAGCTCTTCTCGTATCTGTCCTGTCCACAGTACAGTCTTGTTTACATTTTTTTTCCCCTGTAGTTTATGGAATTTATAAATCATATTCTGGCTCACTTTGTGTTTTTAAGAACTCTCATGAGACTGAAATTTTCTTTTGTTTGTTTTCTGAATTCAGTTTCTTAAGTTTGCCATCATTGATGACACTTCCTTTCTGAGTACAGATTATTATCTGAGATAACCACTCCTGGAATCTGTTGCTCATAAAAGGTTTATGATTAAAAACAAAAAAATACTGTTGTCTGAATCATGTAGCTATTATTTTTGTGGTAGAAAAATGGAGCTTATGTTATAGTGGACTAGGAAAACAACTGACGAGAGACAAGTTTTAACAGCCCATCACAGGCAGAGTGTGTAACATTTAGACTAATTTTTCAAGGTCAGTTTTTAGAACTTGAAAATTTATTTATTAATGCCTTTTTGAGCCTTCAGCTAAAGTTATCGTGAAGCTATTCTAGTACAAGGTCCTGGCACCACTGAATTGAAGGTAAGGCATCTCAGTAATCCTCCCTGTCCTCACGGTGTTTTGTCTTGGCAAATATTGCCCTCTTTATTTCTAAAATGTTAATTAATGAAGAGCCCTTAAATTCCAAACCTTAATTTCTTGGCGATAGTTTAACTCTCTTATGTACTTTAGGTAAGCAGAAGCATCTTCCTAATGGATTAACATGATATAGGCATAAACGTGGCTTTTCCTAAAGATGTAGGTTTCATTTTCGTACGAAACTTTTAAAATCACAAAAGCAAAGAGGAAAAGCTCAGGTCTTCCAAGCAAAGTCCTAGGCAATGTTCAAGTCTTCCAGCCTCCATCTGAGGCCAGGTATTAGAAAAAAAATTTATTCTGCTACAACCCAAAGCTTTTTATCTCTGTCTTGGTCTCTCAATGCCAACATTCTTTGATACATTTTATACTTGCTTGCCCTTTGAGGTCTTGGTTTTCCTTTTTTTTTTTTTTTTTTTTACTTTCTATAGTGCACCGCTACCAGGAGTTCCCAGTCTGTTGATATATGATGATTCAACTGGGGAAATCTTCTGCCTGAAGAGGCCTGTAACCAGGCCAGAGAGCTGTTGAGGCCTCAAGTACCTCAACTGTCATTTCTAGGAAGCATTGCTGATGTTTTTAAGTGAGAAAAACTTGGGTTTAAGTGCAACGTTTTCCTCTGAAAACTGTTTTTCCCTTTGAAAAGTACTTTGGGAGGCATATTTGCCCATCTCTAACACCGACACTGACCAAAAAGCAGTCATCAGAGAGCAGAGCGCTGCCTCAGTCCAGGCACTATCCTGCTGCTTTCAGAGTCTCCCTGACTTTTGAGAAATATTCCTGCATGAATAGGGCTCAGAAAAAAGTCAGGACTGGGCTTTGGGTAACTCAGTGCTACCTGCATCCAGACAAGAGAGCTGCAGCATCCAGTATAAAAAAAGAGTAAAAAGAAAAAAATCTGGCTTGAGTGAGTGTTATTTTTAATTAACACATTTTAAACTACTGCAGAAAGTGTATTTTATCTATTTGCTCAGTAAACAATTTGCACATGTTACATTATTTTTCTTTTTCTTTAATTTATCTTTTAAAAGACTTCTTATGAATATAATAGCTTACCAAGAACAAAAGAAATTAAAATAAGGCTAGAGACTGAATGAACACTACCTGTTCCAGAGTGTTTAAAGTTGATTCAAAGTGGCAGATCAACATGATCCAAATGTTCAACAGGAAATACTTTGCACCAAGCTGTAATACTGCAGTGTTCAGTAACCAGCTGCTGACAGAGGAGCTACTTCTTCCTTGTCCCAACTTGAAAAGTTAATTATCCAGGCTTGGAGGCCAGTCAACGTCAACAGACTACAACAGCAGGGGGGTGGGGGAGGGAAAGGCAAAGTCAGCAGACTTTATATTTTACATCTTAAAAAAGCTTAGTAGCACAACTCTATGCTTGTCAGCTATAGGGTAACAGTGGAAAGAAACAGAGTAAATGAAGGACACTAAGATAAGAGACACAGGAAAAGACAAGCAGGAGCCAGTGGCATGAAACAGCCACCTTGTTCTAGTGGTTCCATGTGTGTCTGGCAAGAGCTTTCTGGGAGCTGGGTTTTTTCATAAAGCAGAATCACAGCTCCTTGTACTACTCCTTCCCAGTATCATTTCATGTTGGACTACATTTGCAGTCTCCAGAATTGTTAGAAATGTGAACCATCTCCATCTTCTATGCATTCTGCAGATGGGCCATTACAATGTGAAAACAAACAACTTGTTGATTGATGCCACAGAAATATTCAGGTATTGGGCAGTGCAGGCAAGGCTCAAGTAGAAAACCATCACCTGTCCCCAAATCTCCCTCCTGAGCAAGGAAAACTAGAGTGAAAGAATAAGCTGTCAAGCATTATGCACAAGAATTATCCAGGCAACATCATTAACAGTCATCGTGGCTGTTAGCCAAGAGGCAGAAAAACATGCCTGTTGTGTTATTAGAAGCAAATGTCGTAAGTACTATGACTTGGATTATGTCTTTCTCCCTGAGGCCGCATCTTCAATTCCCTTTGGGCATAAACTTGTTGCTCACCCTCTTCCAAAAGCAGAACACCCTACACTACCATAGTATCACCATTTGCAATCACAACATGGCTCACCAAACAGCACATTAAATGCCTTGGCTTCCAGACTGCCTACATTAATCATACCTACTCCTTGACTAATCTACAACTTCATGAAAGGATTAGGCTCTTAGGCTGAGCTAAAATGCATTATTAGCAAGATAATTAATTATTTTTAAGTCCCTAGACATGTTTCATAGTTATGTCCAATAACTGTAGTGACATCTATCTGTAGGAGAGCTATGCTTATCAGCCTGAGCTGCAAGTCAGGTGTTCCTTTTTTCCAGAAGTAACTGAAGTGCCCTCTGCAAGCTTGCTTTCTGTATTCTCCTACAAAACATGGGCACAGAAGCTGCAAGGTTGTTCTGCAAAATGTAGCACAGGGGCAGTTTGCCAGACGTACATGAGAACAAGCATGCTGATCACTGGCTACTTGAATCAAAAACCCAACTTTTAAATAAACCTTGTCTAACCACTAGGTTAAATATTAAATTCATATCTCTAAATACATTCTTTTAACTAAAAACATTTTTTTTCATCTGACTCCACCAAGTGAACAGATACAATTTCTTGCTGTGTTTGAACCAGCAGTGAAAGAGAAAGTCAAATTTCTCTCATTTTTCATCAGTTTTGAAAAGAAACAATGTGGTACATGTCACATTGCTAGCTCTGGGTACAAATAGTAAGTGTCATCAATTCAGGGTATGTCCTCCCATCCCTCCCCACCACGAGTCCAGCAGAGATAGCCTGTCACTTGTGGCAGCATGGTACAAACCACTATTTTTGCATTAACATATTTTTTTCTATTAACTGTGGTAAGGAATGTTGATTCAGTTAGAGCAATTCCACTGAAACCATCTCACAAATGCAACTATGCTACTGATTTCCAAGAAAGATAAATAGCAAACAACTTACTTCTACATCCAACTCCAGAATGTCAGCAGTTCTGTTCAGGAGGGAGCCAATATTGGGCTTTGTTCTTCCAAAGTCTCCATGTACAAATTCTTTAATGTAGCTAGAAATACCAGCTAAGGAAAGGTATATTTTAGCACAGAGACATCAAAAGAAAGAAAGAAAACAAATCAGTATGGTAGAAAAGACTCAAAGCAAAAAAAATAGTGTATTTTTCTACTCCTAAGCCAATTTGCAGTGAACATTCTGTTAAGCCCATATTCATCTTTAAAAGACTTCCTAATTCTTGGCTCCTGACTCTAATGCCAAAAACTGCACTATTGACCTGTATTTTCTGTTTTATTCCAAAGTGAGTTGTGACTTTATAACAAAACTGTTAACTTGTAAGTAGCAGTAATCTACAGTCTGCACTGCAGTGCATTAAATATTGCAGAAAAGCTTATTTTCTAAGGTGAAAAGTTTCCAGTTAAATTAGAAAAAGCTTAAGTGTATCTTTAACCAGTACATTATTATAGCCATCACATACTTTAAAATCATCAGAGTAGTCATCACAAAAATATGCACGCAGAGGTAGCAATTTTGAATGTGAAATTCTGACATAAAAGCAAACATTATGCAGCAATATAAGACTGCTGCAGAGCAGGGATTTAGAAACACCACAGCAAGGGAAGCAGGAAACTTCCCATTACCCAAAGTACTCTAATCAGCAAGCTGTTTTGTAAAGGCATTGTGTAACTGCATCTAAGGATACGTTCCTGCTTGAGTCTTCAGTTGCAGGCGAAAATGATGCTCGTCAATGTACTCAGATTTCATGGTGTGAATGATACGACATCTGATAGCTAAAGGCCTTCTGTGAAGAACCCGGAGAGGTGTCTTCTGGTCAAGTTTTAATTCCTGTTACAAGAGGTAACAAAATAAATGAGGAAGGAAATGTGCAACACACTGCACAGATCGTAAGAGACAGAGGCATTATTAACCAATCATCTTTTTTTTATATTGTATTATGGTAGTTGAGTAATCTTCTTGAGGAAAGACTAATTTTTTCCACATTTATCAAAGGAAAAAAGCATAGCCATCTCAAAGGCTAAATGAGAAGGCCTCATATGAACACAAAATAATGGAATCACAAATACAAGGAATAACCTTGAAATCTCCATAGTCCTTTGCTGGAATGACTCCAGGATTTAGAAGCTCACTGCGAGCCTCAGGCCAATAAAAAAAAAAAATCCCACCCACAAACTGCTTTGTCTAAACTATAGCCAACC